ATCACTTTCTAATTGTTAAAAGTGCAAAAGAGTTAAAAATTGAAATCATTGAATATTGCTCGACTATATTTGACGTTTTCCTATTGAACTTTTTTATTTTATTTATTTATTATTTTTTTTTTTTTTTGAAAACATTATTCTAGAGGAAGGCTTTAGAAGGCCTTTACGGAACGCACATTTTCTCACTTTCTCACTCTTTGACGATTAAACTTTTATTTTTTTTATTACCGTAAATATGTATTGTAATATCGAAAATTCACAGTATTTTAATACACGGAATCTCACGCTTCGTCTTAGACTCGCTAGCGCCAAAAATATATGTGTTCTTTCGTTAATATATAGATTTATATATAATATATATTTATATATAATATAATATTTATGCGTGTCTCCTTAATCTAATTTTAAAGTCATTTTGTATATAATAGTTATACAGATAAATATATATACATATACAAATATATGTATATATATAATTTATATTGCATATATGTATATTTATATGTATACGCGTATTTTTAATATAATAATTATATCATTATCATTATTGTATATAATTACTCATGAGATTACATCCGTAGATAAAGGTATGCATACGTATATGTACGTTTTCCAATCTCCTTCGTTCATTCAGAAAAAATTTTCTTCCTTCTTTTTTTTTGAACCGCGAATTATAATATATATTTCTATATATTTATTGCATGTCAAAAAAAAATTTAATTCTTTTCATTTATCTTTAAATTAGAAAATCAGGAATTGTATCCATTTTGAAAAAATATTTCCCTTAAAAATTATTATTGTAAAAAGTTTCTTTAAAGAAAAAAATTGAAGGATATTTTTCTGTTTTTCTTTTCATTTTCTTTCGGTAACAAAATATTTTAAAAACTTTTTCCTGGCTTATCTATTTTAAAAAGGATGGTATAAAAATTTTTTTTTTGATAGGATCAAGTTTTTGTTTTTGTTTTTAGAAAAGTGCCAGTCAGACAGATTTGAATTTTGATTAATTTTTTTTTTTTTTATTGACTGTCTATTATGTTTGATACTAATGGCCTCATTTTGTAGTCTCGAATTTTTGTTTTTTTCTTAAAAATTAAATTTTCAGTGGTCAAAGAGTTTTTTTTCTTTCATTGACAAGCGTTTAGTTTTTTTTTTCGAAAATAGTAATTGAATTATTATTGTATGAAAAAGAAAATTAAATTAAATGTATTTTTTTTGTTTGTTTACAATTAATATTCAATTGCTTTTTCCTTTGAGAAATGCAAGTTTTGAGAATGCGATCTTTTGTACGTATTTCGTGCGACCAGCAGTTTCGAAAGACAAATTTTGCTTTCAAAAAAATTCTTTTTTGAACCAAAATTTAGTCAAAAAAAGAATGAATTTTGAATCTGCTGGGTCGAGGTCCCGTTCGTAAAAAGCGATTCAGCTTTTCAATTATTATGGTAATTTTTTATTACTTTTTTAAACACAGCTTTTTTTGTTTTGTCTTCTAGGACTTTTCTTTTTTTAGAATCTTAGTCTAGATACAACGTAATAAGAATTATTTTGAGTAAAAACGCACAATTTATGCGTCGAATTTTTAAGTACCTATAATATGACTTGAACACTTGTACTTGAATATAATTTCTTTTTAAATTACTATTTTCACTTTTACTCTCACAGAAGTTCATTATCCTTATAAACCTCATGGAAATTCGCACGTATTTTAATTACTATATTAATATAATGGTGAATAAAATTCCAAGAGACGATTATTAAGGATACAATAAATTTAGGATGGACGAGGTTCTCTAATAGTCACTTTTCAAAATCTGCTTTATACTTTCCCTTTTTTTTCATCACAAAAAAAAGAGCTTTCCCCACTTTCTTCATTTAAAAAAAACTTTTTGCACAAAAAAAAATTCTTTCGAAAAAATTGAAATTTTAACAAATAAAATTTTTTCCCCTATAAAATACAGAAACATTAACAAATTACTCATCAACATTATTAAAGTATATTTTTTTTAGACTTTTTTCTTGAAAGTCACAAGTCCTTCGCAAATATTTTTATCGAAGGATTATTTCACAGAAAACGATTATAGTCAAATCACTTTCGTCACTTTCGGCAAATATTTAATTATCGTCATAATCAGTCACGACAGATTAAAACACGAGTCGTAATAATAATAATAATAAAAATTCATTATTATTATCAATAATAATTATAGTAATAATAATGATGATAATCGAAATTTCTTTTTTTTTTACTCTCTTAAACTCTAATGCAAACTGGCACAAGTCAAGTTCGGGGGGTATGATTATTTTACAGCATTCTGGAATTGTACAATTTTGAAATTTTTTTTATTGATTTATTTTAATATAATAATATTTATATAATAATATAATTAATAATAGCAATAATAATAATAATAATATAATAATAATAATAATAGTAATAATAATATATAATAATAATAATAATAATTAATAATGAAATAGGTATCATTATACTACTTAGGTACAGCTGCTTGATACTCTTTTTCCTTAAAAAGGACAAAAAAAAATTAAAATAAAACAGAAAAACACTTTTAAAGGCCGCCGTCGCGCGCGGTCGAATCCACGCAGGATAATTCTCTCTTTTTTTCCATTAAAAAACCTCGCTCAAAAATATTAATTATCAAAAAACAAAAAATATTTTTTTAAAAAAAGAAGAGCGACAAGCGAAAATCCCGCTCAGAAAATTCGCTTTGTCAAAAATTGATTTTCAACCCTCTCGTAGATACGACTACAAGCGGAAATGTACAATTAATATAATAATAATAATGAAAACGCCCCATTTTACAAAAAAACCATAATAATCACGATACAATGGGGCTACAAATAATTTTAATATAATAAAAAAAAAACAAAAAAAAAATATATATATATATATATTTAGACACAATAAACTGGTATCAAGATTCGAGAATGCACTTTATAATTTCACTTTTTTTGTTGCCCTTTAAACGCTTTTTTTCATCACTCATACAGAACAATAATAATCGCAGTGCAACGTTTTTTTTTCTTTTTAGGTATACTTTACTTCGTCTTGCGACCGTTTATTTATTTTTTTTCATATGCAATCGGTATATTTTCCTTTTTGAGTCTCAGTCCTTTGGATCTTAAAAACAAAAATTTTGTTTAACATTCTTTTTTCTTTGTATCTTTTAAAATCGAATGGACGTGCCTCTACAAGTTTTATTGTTTTGCTTTTATCGTTCGAAAATTGTTTTTTTCGCAAACAAGACACACACGCAATGAGGTGTCTCTCTCTCCCCCAATTATTTTTTTTTTTGTTTTTTTTGTTTTATTATATTATTTATCCTAAAAAAATCTGACTTTAAAGTTCTACAATAAAAAATAACGTGCTTCCTTATAACACTAAAGTACCTGTATGCATGTACGTGAGTGTGTGTTTTCTTTCGCGTGTAAATGCATGTTGTGTATTTTCTTTTTCTATTTCATCCAAATTATTATTTTCCTTTTCTTTTCATGATTTTTTTTTTTTTCATTTTTTCCACTGTTTTTTGTTTTTGTTTTTAATAATATGCTGCTTCACATTTACAATTAATACGCGAATGCGCGCTGAATTTTTAATTTCTGGTATTATTTTTTACATCTAAATTTTATTTTTTGCGCCCCGCTCTCAAAATCTGTCCCTGGTAATGATTGTTTTAATCGCGCTTTAGCATTTCGATTGAATTCAATTGAACTTTAGCGAATAATTTCAATTCTGAACATTTAGGCACAGTGAATTCAATTTTTGAAATTTATTTTCTTTCAAATTCTGAATTTCAATTCAAAGTCTTTAAAATTTGATTGTTTCTTTAGAAGTTATTTTAATTTGATTTTTAATTTCAATTCCATTGTGAACGTTCGAATTGAAATTTTTCAAGACTTGAAAAAATTCAATTTAAAATTTTGTTAACTTATTCGATTTCAAATTTTAATTCAATTTCTTCCAAATTTGAAATCTTTGAATTTCAATTAAGAACCTTTTTAAGTTTTTTTAGGATATTATTTAAATTTAATTTTTTATTTTAATTCATTTGTGAACGTTTGAATTGAAATCTTCCAAAACTTTAAAAAAGTCAATTCAATTTTGAAAATTGTTTTATTGGAAATTTTTATTCGAATTCTTTCAAATTTTCAATTTTTTGAATTCCAATTAAAAATAATTTAAATTGAATTGTCTTTTTAGTGTCTCTATTTAATTTTTAATTTCAATTCAATAGCGAACTTTTGAATTAAAAGTTTTCAATACTTGAAAAAAGTCAATTCCATTTAAATATTTTTTAATTTATTCGATTTAAAATTTTAATTCAATTTCTTTTCAATTTTAAATCTTTGAATTTCAATTCAAAATCTTTATTAATTTTTTTTTTCTTAGAATTTTATTTGAATTTAATTTTTTATTTTAATTTAATCGTAAACGATTGATTTCTCGACACTTGAAAAAATTTATTAATTTGATTTTTTTCTATTTTTCAATTTTATTTCCAAGTATTTCAATTGAATTGAATTTTTTCAGATTTTAAATTTTTGATTGTGAATTACAAATTTTTAAATTGAATTGTTTTTTAGAATGTAATCTTAATTTAATTTTCCAATCCAATTTTATTCTGATCGTTCGAATTGAAAGTTTCCAAGACTTGAAATAATGGGAAAAATTGAAATAAATTGAAAAAATAAAATACAATTGAAAAAAATGAAAAAAAAATGAAATAAAGTGGAAAAAAATTGAAAATAAAAATGTTTAAAAGTTCAAAAAATAAATGTTTAAGAAATAAAATAATTAAAATATTCAAATTGAATTGTATTCATAATCATTTTTTCAGTAAAATTGAAATCCATTCGACATTCAATTGAAGTGCTTGAACAATTATTTGTTTTCATTCTTTTTAAAACTTAAATCAGTAACAGATTTTTCGATGCTTGGCGAGAAGAGATTTTTTACAAGTTCCTATTTTTTTCTTTTACATTCGTTTTTACGTAATATGCATCCATATTTCATTTAATACGACTATGATAAGTATATTAAGGCCTTGCGTTGAGGTTTTTGGAGTGTGTATCTAATACCTCGTTGGCGATTTTCAACTGTTCCCAGTAGAGATCGTCGAGCAGGGTTTTCTTTCCAGATAAAATTATTTAAAAATTTTTTCGGGATTTAAAATCGCAAAAAAAAATGATTAAAACAATTTTTTTCCCATATTTTGAGAAGAATTCGAGAGAAATTATTTTAAACACTTTTTTTTCTTACTTTCAGTTCAAACAGTTGAAAAATCACTAAAAACGGAATTTTTTTTCTACTAATTTTCGCTCGGTCGACAAGAAGAGGCTCATGAATAAAATTAAGCCGAGCAGAGGAGAGCGTTTAAAATTAATTAATAATACGATAATAATAAATATAGTAATAATATTAATATTAATAAAAATAATATAATAATAATAATAGTAATAATTAATAATAATAATAATAATAACTAAGCAATCACGACTAGTCACCTCATTTCTCGACTTGCTAGAGAGCGAACTTCGAGTCGATGATTTCTTTTCTTTACAATTTAAAAAATGTTTTTTTCATTTAATTTTTTTCGGAGAGGATTTTGTCGATATGAGGATAACAGCAGTCGAGTAACGAGAATAATTTTTTACATATAAATATATATTCATATATATGTATATATAATTATCGAAAAAAATATTAATAAAAGAAGGAACATTATCAGTTTGTACGGACATCAGACTAAACGAAAACTTCTTGTCTTCCGAGCACGAGGAGAAATTTTTCCAAAAAAAAAATATTTTTACATTCTCATTTTTCAAAACTAAGTAAATTTTTCCTACAAATATATTTTTTTATTTATTGAAACCGTCCCTGCCCAGAAGGCTCTATTTTCTTCTCTTAAAATCTAACTAATTCTATGATTGCACGAAACAAGGTAGAAAGGATTCTCTGAGACATTAAAATTAATTTCAAGCCTTTGTTTTTTTTAATTATTCCACTTGAAATCCTTTTTTTCCCCATTAAAAAAAAAGAGAAAGTATCGAATAAAACAGAAAAGCAAGACTAAAAATTGATCTTTGGTGGATGGAATCCTTTCAATGGCACTAGGGTGCAGATTTTTTTTTACGGATTACAAGCTAGAATAAATTATAGTTTGGTTTTTTTTTCATTTTTAAACAGCGTGAATTAATTTTACTGATTCAGAGTTCCATGTGTATTTTTTTCCTGTCCTAAGAATGTTTTTTTTTTCTAATAAGAATTTTTTCACTTTCCTAATAATATTAGCAATAAGGATTTTTTTTTCACTTTCCTAATAATATTAGCAAAAAAAAGAATTAGATGAGTTTTACAGGAATAAATTAGTGTATGTTTATGTGTGTGTGTGCTGGATATTTTTTTTTTTGAGAAAGAAAAGACACAGGGTGGCCAGCCTTAAGACACTGTGCGTAATTTAAAGAAGCCTACTTTTTTTTAATCTTCACCCCCCGCCCACCCCCTTTTCCCTTCCCATTCGGTTGTTTTCTCTAAACGAGCCTTACTAATATACGTAAATAAAATAAATACTTTCATAAACATTCGTTTAAGTATAGAATTCCCATTTTTTCCATTCCCACACCTTTCATTGACTTGGATAATAATTGTTAATATCAGTTCTATGGCTTAAAACAGTCTTAAATTTATATATGTATGTATAAGGTCCACTAGGTCCACATGAGCATTCGCGCGTATCGATAAAAGGAAAATGGAAAAAAAAAATTTTTTTTTCTTTTTTTGACAGTCATGCGTCGAGAGCTCAGGTCCAATTTTACAAATGACTGGTCACACGGAAGAATCGGTATATTTGTTTTTTGAAAAAAGTCGCTAATGACGGCGATCACTATAGAATCTCTCTTCTTTTCTTCTTCTTCTTCTTCTCTCTCTCTCTCTCGTCTTTTAGTTTCGTCATTAATTAGTCAAGGAAGTATTTCCCTGTGAGGTTCTGCGGTTTTTTTTTCAGAGTTAAAATCTAAACATCCATCAGTCTTTCGATGTCTTTGACTGTGCTATACAGTTCATTAGAATTCAATTTGTTTCTTTTTTTTTTTTTTTTTTGATCAATTTGATTATGTGCCACATGCCTCAAAGAAGGTGTTTTGAAAAAAGTGCCGCTCATAAAAATGAGAAATTTTTGTTTAAGAAAAAGCTCCTGAGCAATTTTTTTTTATGATTCTCCGGATCGCCGTTGAATACGATGTTTTTTTTTCTCATTTTCTACCAAAAAAAATCAAATTTCGACCAACTCATGAGATGATACTTTTCAAGCATACACATCTAAAAACAAAAAAAAGAAAGAAAATATCAAAAAATTTTTTCAGAAACAGTAAATATATGTAGTGCGAAACAAAATATTATTATGGAATGTCGAAAAAACATTATTTTGGTCGAAATTTTTGGCATTCACACGCAATTTCAATATTCATTTTTTTTTTAACGAAAAATAGGTAAAAAGTCGAGTTAACAGTTGAAAATCGCAAGCGTCTCCTTACCCCGGGAACAATAGCGCGCCCCATGAGAAACTGATTGTAGTTTTTCTTTTTCTAACCCTCTTACTAATTTTTCTCTGGTATCATGAGGAAATCGCGCTTATTTTTCTTACCGATACATCTTAAATTTACTTTTTTTTTCTCGCATATATATTATGTTTCACTATTTTATCAACTAATTTTTTTTTTTTTTTTTTTTTTTTTGTTATCTTTTTGAGAAAAAAATGTATCGAATTTTCCCTTTTTTTCTCATCTAAATATGTGTCTAAGTCTGTGTGTGAGTGTAAATTGTGTATTTGTATCGTGTATACAAGGGGGATCCACTGTTACTTTATAAACCATCGATGACAATTAATTAATTAATGAGAATAAGAATAATTATTATAGATCTATTACTTATTTATACGTTCATAAACTAATTAGTCTAAGCCATTAAAAATCTAGTTAACTACGAGAGAGAAATAGCCTAGTGCTCACAACACAGTTTTACACATAATATAGAGACCCTAATCAGTATTTTTTTTACCTTACGGTGCTGTACTTGGTTTTTTTTTTATCATCATCATCATCATCATCGTTAATACTCGCTTTTTTATGTAATTGGCATATTAATAATATACTCACGATAATAATATTAATAGTAGCAATAATAATAGTAATAATAATATATTCATATATCGTATTATCGATTAAATATACTTTTTATATTATCGTTATTTGTGTATACATATATATAATATATTTTCATTCGCTTTTTTTCAATCTATATTATCGTACATTTTTTTTTTTTTTGCTTTTTTATTTTTTTTCTTGAAATGTATTAGTGTATAGTTTTTTTTACATACGAAGAGGGATGTTGGCGCTTCACAGATTCGTTTCAGAGTGGAAAGAACAACAGTGTTATTCCCCTCTTTTTTTTATTTTAAATATAATTCTTATTATTTAAATAATAATTATGCCTCAACTATTGAGACAAATTGAGTCGAATTCTAAATATATTCCGTAACTAAGATCTCTCGCTCTCTCTCTCTCATACCTTGTCACAGCTCTAAAATTGAACGCGTGCCCGAATATCGCGTTCGATATTTCGGGGATGATTTTTTTTTTGTTTTTTTTTATTTTTTCTTTACGTTTACGTCTTAGAAAGAGATTATTATTATTATTAAACTAGAAATGAAAGGAAGAAAATTAAAAGAAAAATGCGCACCTTTCCCAAGGATCGTCCAATTATGTGGACTTTGAATCACACTTTGATATTTGACACGAAAATTTCTCGATTATTTTAATAACACCGTCAAGTAGAGTGGTCGAATTTACACACGAGAAAATATTTTTAAATAAATAAATGACATTTTTTCTAAATCGAGCGCTTTCCAAATTTTTTTTTGGGAATATAGTTTGGAAAAAAATTTGGAAAAAGTTCTCTCTAAAATTCCAGGCTATTTTTCTTTTTCCTTTTAACATTTTTTTTTTTAAAGCCCTCGAGTATTCGTCAATGATTCAATTCTCTCGTGGCGTATTATTTATTTTTCACTCACTCGCGCGGAATTTCTAAAATCACGGGCGTGCTGACAGAGATAGGGTTGAGGGTTGAGGAGGGAAGCAGGGTTTTTTTTCTTGATTAACCTTCTGAAAAGAGAAGGTCATAAGTGAAGGGGCTCCATATAAGGTCACTTGACGAATAATCTAAAAATCTGTTTTTTTTTTTTTTGCTTTTTTCTGTTTTTTTTCTCTTATCGATAGTACTTATTTTTTTTTAAATATAATTCACGCACAAGCCTTGTGCACGCAGGTGCATGAATTTTTAAATATTTTTACTTAAGGACTAGATTCAGGCAGGCTCTTTGAAAAATTTTCTATTTATTTCCAAATAGTCTCGAAAAATTAGTTAAAAATCTTTAGATTTTTTCTGTAAAAAATAATATTCATCAATATTTTATAAATTCGATAATAATAACTGTTTGAAATTACATTTTGATACAATTAAACAAATTACATTTTAACTTTACTGAAAAATTACATTTTGACATAATGGAAAATTTACATTTTAATCTTATTAAATAATTGCATTTTGCCACAAAAAATAAACTTTGGTAAAAAATTACATTTTGCTAAAAAAATTACACTTTGGTTTAAAAATTACACTTTACAGTTCGTACAAAATTATATTTTGCTGTTAGTAAAAAAATTATATTTTAGTTATTAAAAACTTACATTTTAGTTATTAAAAACTTACATTTTAGTCATTAAAAACTTACAGTTTGACTTTATTAAAAAAATAATTTATCCAATCAAATTATTTAAACAGGAATTATTATTGAATTATACAATGTTAAGAATTAAAAAATTTTTTTTCACTTTTTGAAAAGTGGAAAAATTAAAGAAATGTAAATTTCTAAAAATACATTTCAATATATTTATACAGATCGGAGATTTTTTTTTTTTTTTGAGAATATTTGCAAATAAATGAACAATTTTCAACAACATGCAAAGTGATTAGAGGACAGGAGTCGCGTGAACTGATTAAAAACCACACGATCGCGACCCGAACACTACACGAAGGGATAATTTCTCATTTTTGAAAAAACCAACTTTGCTGGATGATTTAATAATTACAGTTAATAATTACAATTTATAATTTATAATATTAAATAAAAGATCTTAATTTCTTTTCTTCTATCTAGTAATATCGATTTCTTCATTTCTTCGGAATACTTACAAATAATTTTTTTCATTCTATTTTTTAAATACTGGCCGACAATCACAAAATTCGTTTAATCAATTTAAAAAACATTCGCTACAATTTAACAATTTTGTATTGTACATTTCGTACAGATAAATTGTAACAAAAAGAAATATTAAAATTTGGAACAAAAAACTTAATCATTTAAAATTTAGAAATAATAAGAATTAATTTTTAATCCAGCAAAAAGTAGTTTTAACGAGAAATTCTTTTTTTTATAAAGAAAAAATATTTTCAACCATTCACTAGATATTATATTTTTTTTTTACTTTTTGAGAATATTTATACCCTGTAAAATCTAAACTTTCGATAATTGTACTTTAAATAATATGTACTTTATAAATTTATTTAAAAAAAAAGAAAAAAAAATGTAAAAATGAGATCCAAAGGATAAAGAATAGAAATTCATTTTATGGCAGCTAAAAATCGAGTATAGAAATTGAAAGAAAAAGACTAGCCCAAAACAATGCTACGATTGGCATTTAGAAAAAAGTCAAAATAAAATTGCATACAAATTTTCGAAAAAAAATTTGAGATTACGTATTGTGTATATATATATATGTATAATATTGAGACCCTTCGGAATGAGCGAGTTTCGATAACGGAGCACCAAAGTGCGATAAGTTTGAAGACGATACACACGCACTCACTTAATTTTTTACTTTTATCTTTTTCGTTTATATACGTTTTTTTGTTTAATATACTGAAAGCAAAAAAGGCCACGCTCCACTCGTACACTTGCTTTGATTTACAAAATTACAAACTATGATTATTACTTAGGCACTGAAACATGGAATTTCCCTTTTTCTCTCTATCTTTATTTCATTATCTCATCATCACCTCTTTCCTTCTGTCTATCTCTCTCTCTCTCTTTTAATTTTTTCCCTCCTCTTTTTTTTAACTAATTATTGAAATAATACAAAATTTATTTTTTGCATACTCTTTATTTTCCGAATTATATTTAGTTATTAAATAATCATTATTAAAATAATTAAAAATAACATTAAAAGAAATTAGCAGAAAATAATATTTAAAACAGTATGAAAAAATATTTACTAATTGAAGAAAAAATCATATTGAATTCAATTAGTTGTCAATTTACTAATTATTTAATTTATTAATTACTTTATTTATTATTTTCTTTTTTTTATTATTTTATAATTTAATAACAGATTTAAAAAATTAATGACAAAATTCAAAATCGTCCTGACAAGCGGAAAGCTTTTTAGAGTAACTGCTCTTTTGGAAGAGACTTTTTAGAGAAAAATGAATAATATTTTTATGAGAACTCTCTTCAGCGGAAGATGAATCGGTGACTAAAAAATTGACAAGAAAAGTATACGACTCAATAAAATCGTCTGAGAAATTCAATGTGTAAAGTGGAAGAATACTCGAAAATAGTGGAAAACACGAAAATTGGAATTAGATTTTGTGTGGTTTATATAATTCAAAAAGAAAGAGCTTCACACTAGCTTTCCGTTTTTTTTTTACAAAATTAGCCCGTAATATTTTCTTATCAATTAATTGAATTATTTAATTAAATTAATTGAATTCTTTAATTATATTAATTTGAATTCTAATTAAATTAATTAAATTTCAATAGAATTTAATTAATTGAATATCAATTGAATTCCAATTTAAATTAAATTAATTGATTTTCAATTTTATTTAATTGAATTTAATCAATTTAATTAATTTATTTATTTGATTAAAAACAATTAATTAAATTTTTCAATTTAATCAACTAAAATAAAAATTTTAATTAATCAAAAATGAATAAAAGAAAATCAACAGTATTTAATTTCCAATACTGAGAAAGAAAAAAAAAAGAGAGAGAAATATTGCAAATTGCAAAAGGAGAGGAAGAGAGCGAGAGAAATAAATAAAGAAAAGGAGAGAAAAATTTAAGTGATTTAACATACAATTGTTTAGCAATATTTATATAATATATAATATATATATCCTAGGCAAAATACATTTACATGTATAGAATATTAGAGAGAAGAAATCGAAACAACAATCGCAAAATGCGTGCGAAATACAGA